CCTGGGGGCCGTAGGTTGCCGACCCCTGATCTAGACACTGCAACCTTTATATTAAAGCAGAGCAAGCAAACTGAATGCAAAGAGTGTTTTTTCTCCTTGCTTACATCTCATACCAGTGGTGGTTTCTCCTTAGGATTCGGTAGCTTTTATCTTCTGTTCAAAAGTGGTTCATGCTAGTAACAAAATTACTCGTCTATATGTCTGCTGTCTCATTGTACTTGTGCTGCCAAAATTGGTACTTCTAAACACTTTTTAAAAAAACTTCACAATCATCCATAACTGCATTTAAAGCTTCTGCAAGTTTTTCTTCATTCCCATGTTGCAGTTAATTCCCTTTCCGATGCTCTGTCTCTAATGTATTCCATGTATCCAATGCCCACTCCTCCTCCCAACTTCATATCTTTTCACCTTTTCAGCTGCACAGTATTGAACCATGAGAACATTCTCATATTTCTTGAGCTCTTTCATTTCTCCCTTGCAAATGAATTATCAGTTGATGGACTCTAAATAATTTTAGATGAATGAATCCCCACTTCAGAATTCAATAGCCAACAGTTGTGTTATTGTTGCTTGTTACAGAGAGTGCCAGGGAAATTTAATTTTTACCTTAAACCCCAAATCCAATTTTTATGCTGTTCCATTCCTGAGAAAATAAAGGACTTCTTTTTCGCTTTGACATATTGCTTGTCACTTTTTCTCAGCCAGAAACCCCATGGGCAGAGAAAAGAGCAATGAATATTATTTTCAACTAAACCACAGAGGAACTAAAAGAACTGTCGGGATCAAGACCTCTTGGTAGTTATATAGTTCAACATGATTGATGTTTTGGGGGGTGACATGCCAAAATTTTCAGAGCTTCAGAAGCATTTTCCAATATTTCACCCAGCTTTTTCCAGCTTGTAGAAGTTTGCAGGACAGTTCCCCATCTTTAAAAAAGTATTTAACTGTACAAATAGGAACAAACACTTTTTAAAATGAGAAAAAGTCATACAAACTTATGAAAGCCAGGAGATGGGATAAACAAAGCAGTGTGGCACAGTGGTTTGAGTGTTGGACTGAGGGCCTTTGCAGACTGCCAGAAATAGTGCAAATTGAGTCCACTTTAAGGGTTAGGGTTATTGCTAGGGAATCGTGGGATTTTTTTTTTTCTGAGACATTGAGCCTTCTCTGTCAGAGAGCTCTGGTGCCACAATAAACTACAGTTCCCATGATTCCCTAACCCTAACCCTTAAAGTGGACTCAATTTCTAGAAGTCTGCAAAGGCCCTGAGACTCTGCAGACCCACATGGCCACAAAACCCACTGGGTAACCTTAGTGCAAGTCACATGCTCTCAGCCTCAGGAGAAGGCAATGGCAAACCTCTGAATAAATCTTGGCAAAAAAACAAACAAACCCATGATTAGGGTCAGAAATGACTTGAAGGCACAGAACAACAAAGATTATCACTCTTCCATTGTCCATCTTCCTATCTTAATTTGTCCTTAAATAGGACAAGTATGGCCCTCCAAGTACCGTAATCTGGCATGGTTGGTTAAGTATCTGGCATGAATGGAAATTCCAGTCCTACAACAATGGTGTCATCCCTGAAGAAAAGAGCAAATGTATCTTTGTTGCTCCAGTGTGTATCCATTTAAATGTTTACACATGAATACTGAGACTCATGGGTGTATGATTTACTAGGAGCTTCCTTTTGGTAGCTGTGGAAAGGTGGAATTTATTTATTCTTTCATTTAGCACCATTAGGGTACATCATGCTTTACACACATGGATTGCAATGTTGACAGTTCCCTGCCCTCAAGTTTAGGGACACACAAGAAAATCATGATGGCACTGGGAAGGGGATTGAGTCTAGCAGATGCCTGCTAGTCTCTCCCTCCAAGAGGCCACAGGAGTGGAGTAGAAATCAGTAATTTTTCTATGGACAGCTTCTGGGCCTGGACATGACGGAGCTGTGCCTCCCTCTTCTCCTTCTCTTAGGTCCAATCCATACTGCAGAAATAATCCAGTTTCA